AACTTACATTAAAGCTCGCTCTTAGTGGTGAGCATTCTGTGTGTTTAGACAGATGGATACTAACAAGTATCCACCAATAAAACATCACACAGGACTGTTTCACTGCCCTAAAATTCTTCTGTGCTCCACCAATTCACCCCTCCTTTCCTCCAGCCCTGGGCAACATCGACCTTACTGTCTGTAGTTTTGCCTTTACTTGGATGTCATGGAGTTTGAATCACACAATACAAATTAAGCCTTCTGAGGTTGGCTTCTATCACTCAGTAAAATGTATTATAGTTTCCTTCATGTCCTGGGGCTTGGTAGCTCATCTCTTTTTAGTGCCGAGTAGTATTCCATTGTTTGCATCAGCCACAGATTACTTACCCAGTCATCTACTGAAGGACATTTTGGTCACTTCCAAGGTTTTACAAGCATAAATAAAGCTGCTATAAACATCCATGTCCATTTTTAAATTGGGTTATTTGCTTTTTATCACTGAGTTGTGATCATTTTGTGTACATTCTAGATACAAGTCTTTCATGAGATACTTGATTTGCAAACCTTTTCTCCCTTTCTTCTGTGCTATCCTTCACTTTCTTGATGGTACCTTTTGAAACACATTTTTTATTTTGATATTTAATTTATGTATTTTTGTTTTTGCTGCCACTTGTGCTTTTGAGGACACATTAAAGATATCATTGCCTAACCCAAGGTCATGAATATTAGTACCTAAGTTTTCTTCTAAGGGTTTTCTAGCTGTAGCTCTTACATTTAGACCGTCTTTTCTTCCCAGTACTGGGGATTGAACTTAGGGCTTCATGAATGTTAGGTAAACATTCACACCTTTTATCAACTTTGAATCAGTTTTTCTATATGGTGTGATATTCTTATCTTGTCACAGATACAGGTTAAATTTAGAGCTGAATATGATATCTGCAATTTGCTTTAAACTATATCAGAAAAATACATCAGAAAGACGGCTGAAGCAAATATGGCTAAATTTTTTCAGTTGTGAAATCCAGGTGATGATTCATTGAACTTTCCTCTCTGTTTTTGAATTCCTTTTTAAGTAATAGAAAGTCAAAGTAAAGATAAAAATCAGAAAAAATACTCAACCATGAGAAAAAAGTCACTCTATTTTTTTAAATAAGTAAATTGTCTACGAGCGTTAGTTTTTTATAAATCATTCACCACATCCCTGGTAAAAACACACAAGAGAGTAGATGTGCTGAGTGTCTGGGCATGGCTCTTAGAAACCAGTATTTCAGAGCTTCTTACTGTAATACAGCAATTACCAGCCATATGTAGCTGTTGATAGCTTCAAATATGGTAAATCCAAATTGCAATGTACTGCAGATGTAAAATCTATATTAGATTTTGAAGGCTTGGTATAAAAAAATTCAAAATAGCCTATTCCTATTTTATGCCAATTACATGTTGGAGTGTTAATATTTTGGATTAAATAATTTGTGTTATTACAGTTACCTGCACCTGTTTATTTTATACTATTTTTAAAGTATGGCTGACAAAAATGTAAATGATATAGATGGCTTGCCTTATGTGCATTTTGGACACCACTCTTCTAGAGAGAAAAGGACTAGGCTATCAGACTTGCATTCTAATTCCTCTGCTGCCTTTCAATAGCCATGTAACTTTGGGCCATTTCTTCCATTCCTCAGTCTTAAAATAAGGATAAATTCACTCAGCAAGTATTTGGAGCTTTTACTTAATGAAAGAATTTGGCTAATTGAAATGGGAAATACAAAATGTCAGACTACCTACAAATTCAAATTCTGTTTCCCCATTTCATACCTATCCATGAGTCAGTGAAGAGTGAAGTCATCAATGGAAATTATATCACTTTTATTTTTCCCCATTAACATTTTATTTTAAAATAATGAATACTTTATAATATGTCCAAGATCTGTGATCGCATATGCACAGAGTATATATTTTCCTTTTCTCCTCTGAGTATTGAGTCTTTGGGCATTTGTTTCATTTTCCTGGAGGCTCTTCTAATTTCTCATTTAGTTAACACATTAAGTAAATGCACTGTGGCACATCTCTGGTGGACCTAGTGTTCTTGCTTTTCTGTGATTCCATCCCATAGTGACTCTGGTCTTGGCCATATAACTTGCCTTGACCAGTGCAATGCTTGCTCTTGGGCCTTGTCTTTTTGGAGGACTCCTTCTTGGAACCCTCCAATTATCCTAGGAGGCAGCCTGAGCAGCCATTATGGACAGTCTGCATGGAGAAAGAAAAGGCCAGGGGTTCATTTAGACAAGAGTCTCAGTCTGCTGTGATTCTGCCCTCTGGGGGTTATCTGACAATATCTGGAGACACATTTGATTGTCACAACTGTTGGAAAGGCGTTACTGACCTCCAGTGGGTAGAGACAGGCTAGGGATGCTGCTAACCACCCTACAATTCACAGGACAGCCCCACAACAAGCTAATCACCCTGCATAAACATCACCACGCGGAGGTTGAGAAACTGGCTGTCAGTCAAGGTTTCCCCACAACCTGGTTCCCATGGACCAAAGGAATTGGGGCTTGGGAGAGAACATGTTCAAAGAAAATCTATAGCTACTCTTTTAAGCCTGCACATTTCCCAGTGATGGTGTGTTGTTCAATCTGCTACTCATGGTGATTTTTGATGATTTCCATTAGCATTGAAATGGCACATTTCCCCTTGTTTACACTCAGCACTTTAGCACAGTAGCTAATCATACTGTGGAAGCAACAGTCATTTCTTAACTTACCTCAACCCAGATAGGGCTTCTTCCTGGTGCTATCAAGGACACAGCGTATCAACTCAATCCTAGCTTCTAAATCCCCATCTATTAACTGGCCCAGAAACCAGGACCTTTAATTTGTAACATTTTATACTCCAGGCTTGTTATCAAAAAACCATGGCCCTCCTACTCCAACAAGAAACCACTTTGTTCTCTCAGAAGAACATGCACATATTTAGAGGAATCCCATTATTAGCCAATTTTATCTGTAAAAGAAATTTTAAGGACATAAAAATTGGAGTAATATTGCTGGCAGTAACTTTTCTTAGGAGAGTGTAAATATAGTTATATTAGCAGATCCACTCAATGAAAGTTTTAGACATATGGTTGAATATGAGTATAAATTCCACTGCTATGGTAATTTAGTATGTAAATTTAATTTAATTTTTTATGAAGTGTAGTCATGTGCCACTTAACGTCTGGGATATGCTCTGAGAAATGCATCATTAGGTGATTTCATCCTCCTGTGAACATCATAGTGTGTACTTAAATGAACTAAGCCATCTACCACCTCACTAAGCAATATAATCTTACGGGACCCCTTTTGTATATGCACTTTGGCATCGACTGAAATGTCTTTATGTGGCACAATGGATAATAAATTATTGCAGGTACTATTCTTTTTAATATCATAAGACATATAGGCCTTCCTTAAAAGAATGGAAAGGCGCAAAAATGCTACTGAAAATGGTGCTTTGGCAGGTTTTTCTTTTGGCAGTGCTGGGGTTTGAACTCCAGAACCTGGTAAACACCAGATAAGTGCTTTAACACTGAATTACACCCCAGACGAAATTATTCTTTTTTGGGGGGTGCAATAATGAGGATTGACCGGGGGCCTTGCACTTCCTAAGGCCAAGCACTGTGCCACTGAGCTACATCCTCAGCCTTTGGAAACCTTTTTGGTAAGCAGACAGCTACAGAAATTTAAAAGAAACACTTGATGCACAAGGTAATCCATATTACAAAGTACAAAGACTCAGATGAAAAATTCCAGTGATATGAATAATCCCACTAATCTCCCAGACCCTAACGGTAAACAAGTCGGGTAGAGTAAGCTACACTTCAGCTGCAAGTGGCCTTCACTGTCGGTGGCAAATCGGTTCTTGCCAAATATTAGTAAAACCCAGCCATTCTCCTGGGGGTTTAGTTTATCTTCGGTGAGTTAAAACTGTGACCAGCATCTCCAGTGCCCAGTCTTCTGTGGACACAGGTCACATTCCCTTCCCCTGCACTTGCTCTGTGCCCAGAGGTTGGCTGCGGTACTGCATTAGGTTCTTGAGGAAAGCTTTTGTTTGGCTTCTGCCAGGACGAAGGAGAGGCAGGCACTGACCCCAAGGACGTGGAGGGACTGAGGCTGGGGATCTATCTGGTGCGGTCTGTGATCCTGGGATTCAGCTGGCCCTAGAACCACCACATCTCCCTACAGTGGAGGAATCCGGGGGGGATTTGGCTTGACCCAGTGTGCCACCCAGATCAACCCTGCTCCCTCTGCCCGTGCTCAGGGCTCAGAGGGCTGACACTTTTGGCTTTCTCAAAGGCGTGCTTCAAGTCTGTAATTCAAGGCTCAGCACACTTAACAATTGAGAACTGAGGCACAAAGGAAGATATAATACAGATACTTAGATAGTAAGAAAAAAGAACAATTTCTGTTTTTATTGACAATGTCCAAACTGTAATAATATGTGAGCACATTTGTGGCACTACATAGTTACGAATGAGCGAAGAGGAATTTTGGGGGGAGGGGAACATTTCTCTTCAGTGGAATTCTCAAGTGGTGTGTGGCACCATCACGTAAAATGCAAACGCGCTGAGCTCTCTGCTACAAACTCCGGCTATTCTTTGGATCTGGTCTACGGGCCCCAGTTCCCCAGTTTGCGGATCCTGCTGCAGGTGAAAACAAGTCGTTTACATTGGCTTTGGGGCGTTCCAGGTTGGAGGGTTGGAGGATCGCTTCTTGCCTGCGAGGCATCCACCCCCTCGGTCCCTTCACACATTATTTCTCTGTGCCCCAATTATCTGGTTCCCTGGTCTTCCCCCTCGAGGCATGTGGGAGATGTCAGGTGTGGGGCTCTGAGGCCTCCAATGGAGCAAGGACCCCCTGGATCGTCCCAACCTGCAACCCCGGTCCTGCGGGAAACCAGTTTCCCAGCAACCTCCTGCTTCCCCTCCGCGGCTGCCCCTCCTCTCCGCCTCCCTGGCTCCGCCCCAGCTCCTCCCTCTTCGCCCCGCCCCTCCCCTGGGTCCCGCCACCGCGCTTTCCCGCTCCGGCAGCAGTAGCCTTCTGCGTCGCTGTCGTGTCGCTGTTGTCGTCGCCTTCGCAGCGTACCGTTGGAAACCCAAGAGCCACCATGCCCAACATCGTGCTCTTCAGCGGCAGCTCCCACCAGGATCTGTCCCAGCGCGTGGCCGACCGCCTGGGCCTGGAGCTGGGCAAGGTGGTCACCAAGAAGTTTAGCAACCAGGAGACCAGGTGGGGGCCTCGCCGGGGAGGGCGCTGGGCGCGCGGCTGCGGGGCCGGGCTAAGGACCGACGCGTGCCCTGGCTACCTCCGCGGGAGCCGCGATCTCCCTTCCGGGGCGGGACAGCGGCAACGCGGCCGCGGAGCCACAGCGGCTGCGCCCGGGGAGAAGTTGAGGAGGGGCACCCGCCAGCCGCGTGGGTTGCCCGGTATGCGCCCGAAGTTGCCCCTCCGAGGGACCGCGGCGACCCGTCGATCCAAGGCTCGCGGGCACCCTCGTCGCGGCTTCTGGCCTGTAGTCCCCTGTCCGGAAGGGTGACATCGGGGCAGTCACAGGCTGTCGGAGATTAAGTGGACACAGCCGACAGGAACGCATCCGTACGCGCGGTGGCGGGACTTCCCGGGGCCCCAGTTTCCGCGTCCCTGCAGGGGCGAACCCCAGACTTATGCGTGGCCCTAAAGGTTCCGCACACGTCCAGTGCCCTGGCGGCGCGCTAGATTTACCTGGGGACCTTTCAAACTCTGCTTTTCCGGGACCTGTCCCAGGAGGTTCAGATCCAGGGGGAGGCCAGGGATCAGTACAGGTGCTCAGCACCACCTTATTCATAGGGTGAAGTTGTGCGGCGGGTTGAAAGAGCGTGAGAACTCCAGGGTGCACGTGCTGGGCTCCGGTAGGCTTCTTCTAACTTGCTGCCTCCGAGCTGATGAACATTCAGCTTCTTTGTGGGGCTGGTGCTCCGCTGTGTGCAGCGGCAAGTCTCTAGTTTGGTGTGAATTCCACCCATTTCTCGCTTCACAAGAAGTGACCACTTGTCCTCTGTGCAGTCAGGAGGTGGACCTCAGAAGCTCGGCGGGCTGCAAGGTGGGGGGGGTCCTTTCTCCATCGGCTTGAATCCATGAAGCTCCTTAATTAATTTCAAGATGATCTATTTTCTCTCGTTGCCCTCAAATGTCTAGTGCAGTTAACTGTACACAGTAACAGATAACTTTTCTATCATTGGCAAAGTTCCAGTTCAACTAACAATTTTAAGAAATGGTGCTCAGCACTTGGACAGCCGTACGCAGAGAGAGAGAGGAGGGGGGAGATCTCCATCCATACTTCCCACTATTTACAAAAAATAACGACATGGATGGGAGACGGAAATGTGAAACTAAATAAAAACTAATATTTTCAGAACTAATATTTCTAAAACTAATATTTTCAGAAGAAAGCATGGGAGAAAGTCTTGATGACTTTGGGTGAAGCAGAAATTTCTTAGTGGGGAGTTGTAGTAATACTGATTGCAAAGATGCATTTTCTCAGGCAGTCAGCTTTTAGGGAAAATTGGTTCAGTTCACGTGACTTCTTCTGGTTGCACAGCGACACTAAGTAAGGAAAAGTTGTGAGTGAGCAGCAGGTGACATTCTTGCCAGGAGCACTGGGCTGCATAATTCCACTTTGCAGAGCTTAGTGCACACCCCAGGGGGAAAGCCCAGGGCTCTGGAGAAGGACAGAGCTAGGTTTGAGGATTGTAGTACTTTGCCAATCCTGTTTGAGTCTCAGTAGCTCCAGGAACAATAGCTTCCTCAGAAGGTATTGCCACATAAATAAAGGATGTCACATAAATAAATTTCTGGATGAAGTAAGTTTTGTCCTTCCTTGTCACCTCTGGGTGGCACAATCCTCTGCTAAAGATAGGGTGACTGTAGATCACTAATTGCCAAGTAAATGTTAGATTTCTGCACAAAATACTGAATGGACTGTTGAGTGAAACTCATTCAGACATGCTGGTTGTTTAGATATTTAAATATAAAGCAACTCATTTTTATTTTGAGTATCTTATATCTACCACTTGATAATACAAATCATAAAGTCTCCAAAAGCATGAAGTCTGAGAGTTGCTACATTTTATGCTTTTAACAGGTAAAACTGTACATGTGTAGAGGTTGACTTTTACCAAGTCCTCTCTGTACCAGGTACTATGCTAGTAATCTGGTTTTTACCCTGTGGTCCTAGGGATGGGAAACGGAAGGGCTGAAAAGAAGGGAAATTTGATTCAGTTTATGTAAAGGGCCCCTTCCTGAATCCCTTGCTAAGGCAGGAGCAGAAATCTGGTTTGCTCCTGGTCAGCAATGCTCTCATTATGTTTGTGAATACTATTTAATCAGACATAGAGCCTCCTTACTTTTACGTTCTCATCTCTAAATCACTCCAGATGTACAGGAAGAAGTCTGCTGCAGTTTCACGGAAATCACTGGATGGCTTCCTACGATGCATTCGTGGTGGTATCTATACGTCTATTTTGTAACATTGCATTCTGGGAAGTTCACGGGCTGGTGGTGTCCTTACCTTTGCTGTAGGACCCAAGGTTCTGGTGACCTACTGCCATGTATGAAATCACCCCAGAACTTACCATCTTAAAGCAATAATAATTTCTTTGGCTCAAACCTCTGCAGTTTGGGCAGACTCAGCAAGGAAGGCTTGTCTCGCATGTGGCAGCTGAGTTTGCTGCTGAGGCACTTTTGCATGGCTGGGAGGTGGGCACTAGATTTTGCCTGGAATCTTAGATGGAAACCTGAGTCCCTTTTGCTGCAGATCTTGTCACAGGGTTGCTTGGACTCCCTTCCTGCATGGAAACTGCCTTCCAAGAGGGAGTGCTTTAAAAAGCAAGAAGGGAAAGCTACTAGCCTACAAAGGCCTGGACTTGGAAGTTGGCATATCAGCACTTCTGTCACATGCTGTTGGTTAAGCACAGGGCCTTCTCTGATTCGAGGGCAGATAGCAAAGACCCTGCTTCTTGATGCAGAAAGTGTTAAAGACTCTGTGGCCATCTTTTAATTACCATGCCCATTCACTTTTGAGTTGATCACATGCATGTGGGGGTCCAAAAAGATCCTGTCTTGGTTACTTTTCTCATCGCTGAGGCAAAATACACAATACCTAAAGTTAAAGAAGGAAAGGTTTCTTTGGCTCACAGTTTGTAGAGGTTTCAGTCCATAATCCACTGGCTCCAAGGCAGGGTGGCATCACAGAGGACAACCATTTCATGGCGGGCAGAAGGTAACAAAGGAAAAAGGGACAGCCACAGCTCTTTCTATCCTTTGTATCTTATCCAGGCTACTTAGGGCAGATAGCATGCACACCCTTAATCCTAGCACCCTTGAGCCTAACATTGCACCGTGAATCAGTCCCAGCATTACACACTGTAGCTCCAGCCACCTCTAAAAAAGCCCTACCTATGACTGTATGAGGCTTTGGTGGGATATCTGGACACAAACCATAACAAATCACCTGACTGAACAACAAATGGATACTGCCTTCTCTCTACAATCTTTTAAAGCCTTGGACTGCAGATCAGGAGGATCATCTTTATGAGCAGATGCATGACTGTCTTTGGAACAGGTGTTGCCACAGTGTGTTCTGTCCTTCCATGGACTGGTAGTCATATATACACTGTGGTTCTTCAGTGATGAAATACAGAATGAGATCTTGTGGAATAAACAGCCTTAAGATCTGGACTTGGGAAATTTTCCATAAAAGGCGAGATCATAAATATTTCAGATAATGCTGGCCACTTTCAGTCTCTATTGTTCCCATAGCTTAGAGCTGCGTAAGTTAGAGGTACCTCTTAGGTCAGGAGGGCTGTATTCCCCTTGGAGGCTCTAGGGGAGAGTCCATCCCCTTGGCTTTCCAACTTTTAGAGGCAGCTCATATTCCTTGGCCCTTGACCCATCCTCCAGCTACCAAGCCAGCAGCTAAGCATCTCCCAGTCCATGCTTCAGTCATTGCACCTCTTTATTTTTCTGATCTTTTCTCTCCCCCTTCCATTTCTAAGGAGCTTTGTGATTGCATTGGGCCAATTTAAATAACCCAGTATAGTCTTCCTATTTTAAGGGCAGCTTATTAGCGTACTTAATTCCATCTGCAATTATATATCCCCTTCACCATGTAATCTAACAAAATCAAAAGATTTGCATATAGATGTCTTTGGGGGGGCATTATTCTGCCTACTGTACCAGCTTAGCTAATGAGCCATACAAAAAGAGATGTATGCTGTATTTTGTCATCCCCTGATCTGTATAATACTTGATTTCCAAGTTAAAGTCATTCTCCTATTGTTATATGCACAGTGAAGTTATGTTCATTTCCTTAGAACTCAAAATAGGGGAAGGTACACATGGAATTTTTTTCTGTAACTTTCAGCCTGAAGTTGACAGTGTACCACTAATACCCAATCCTGAGAGTATGCAAGAACATGAGTAAAAGCTGGATGTTGTGGAGCATGTTTCTAATCACAGCTTCTGGGAGTCTGAGGCAGGAGGATCACGAGTTCCAGGCCAGCCTTGACAACTTAGCAATTTATTGAGACTCGTCTCAAGAGAAAGAAGGAAGGAAGGTAGGAAGGAAGGAAGGGAAGGAAGGAAGGAAGGAAAGAAGGAAGGAAAGAAAAAGACAGAAAAAGAAAGAGAGAGAAAAAGAAAAAAGAAAAGAAAGAAAATAAAAGGAGAAAAGAGAGAATATGACAAAATGTTATTATTTTCACAATGTGGCAACTTAAAATTCATGTTTATCTTTCCATTATTATACTGGAAGTTAGATATCAAATTCTGTTGGTTTAGATAGTCTACTACATGGTAACTGAAATGTTGACTTGTTTTGAGATTTTCATTAGTTATAATTTGCTCCTTTAATAAAATGGTTTTATCGGGTATAGTTGGCTTCTGATGGCAGAAGAAAGAACAAGGGTAATTGTGGCCTTCATTTACAGATGCATCATAGTTGGTTGAATTGCTTACAGCCAGTTCTGCTACAGTGTGATATATGGGTTCCCAAAAGATACCATGCTCTACAAGATTGTACAATTACAAGTCACAGGGCTTATGAGAAACATGGAACTGGGGCATAACATTTAAGAACTTCCTCAGTGACATCTAAAGAAACACATAGGGATGTAGTATAAGCAGTAAAACACTATTACTTGTATTCCATATTCTGCAAAGCACAGAAATACTACCACAGCATGGCTTTTACTGATGAAATATAACTCCCTTTTGCTGATGGAAGTAGAACGACAAAGGCTTGCAGCTTTTGAGTTATTACAAGATGGCAGAAGGCAGGTTGTCTGAAATGATGAGGCTGGCTGGGACAGCAGATGTGGCTGAGTGTGTCTCATTGTCCTTGTGTGATGCATGCTTGTGTTTTTCTAAGTGGCTCCATTTAGCTGGACACAGATCAGTTTTCTGCATTCTGTCCCAAGATAAGAGTTTTGCGTAAGCAAAAGCAAACATTATGCTCAAATTGTTCCAAATTTATCAGCCATTGGAACAAATCTGCCTTTACAAAAGTGTCTCCGCAGAGCTGACTACAGCCCTGATTCTCACACAGTACTCTGCGAAGGACTTCCCCTGAGGACACAATTCTGTTTTACTTTTCCTTCCAAGAAGGGCACACACCAGGAGTGAATGATCTCTCTCTCCCCCTCTTCCTCCCTCTCTCCCTCTCTCCCTCTTTCTCTGAATACCACTGAGTTCATTACCTGGAATTCCAGAAATTTGCAGGCATGCAATTTTTAAAAATTTAGCTTCTACTTACTCTTTCTCAATAAGCCACAGGAGGATGCCAAGCACCACAACAAGGAAGTACCCCAGTCAAGAGGGTGTAGGAGAGGGGAGCGAGGAGAAGGGAATCCCCAGTCAGCAGCTGGGCACAGGTCGGAAGCTGGTACCAGGTCAGCCAGCTGTAGGAGGGACATCTGCAGGACAAAGAAATGGGGCTGGGACTTGAAGCCTCTGACACTGAGAGATTGAAATTGTCAGTGAGGTATTCAGGATGGAGTCTGAATTTAGTATGCAGGAAACTTACCAGAGAAAAATGTAAGGTGATTACCTAGAGGGCAAACAAAACTGTGCATGACAGGAAAATATAACATTGATTTAACTCTCCTATGTGGTTCTGCTCTGAACCTTATTTACACAGTTACAAAGTAGCAGCCAAAGCTGGGTATGGTGGCACACACCTGTAATCCCGGCACTCTGGGAGGCTGAGGCAGGAGGATAGAAAGTTCAAGCTTAGGGACTGACTAAGGGAGAACCTGTTTCCAAATAAAAAAATAAAAAATGGAAAGTGTTGACAGTGTAGCTCAGTGTAAAGGCCCTGGGTTCAATCCCCAGTGCCACACACACACACACACACACACACACACACACACACACACAAATCATAGCAATCAGTTTTCAGTTTGAGTATTGATCTGTGTTTGGATAATGGCAAGCTGGAAAGGGAGCACCTGTGTGATGGGAAAGAGAGGAAGTAGAACCAAATCCCCGTCTTCCACAGTGAGAAGTCAAGCCAGGATCCTCAGATAAAAAGTCAAGATGTAGGAAGACACATATTAGCTAGAGGCTTGAGGGTAAATATCTAAAAGTCATATTGAGGGTTGCAATCGATTATCTATTATAAGCCTCATAGAATGGTTTGAATTTTTAAAGCAACATTCATATACAGCTTTAATATAAATAAAACACTAAAACGAAATATTTTGCAGAAAAGAGTTAACATAGGTCCGAAGCTCAGAAGGGTTTGTTTGCCAAGTTGGCCTTTGGCTGAGTTCCCACCATCCTTTGATAAGAATGGCTCATGGTGTCTAAATTGTTAACAGTTAGGGAACGATGTGGATTTTGTGAAGGCCAGCGAGCCTGGCCATTTGGCACGCACTAGATATCTGGGTGATGTACCAGCCCTGGGCCTTGATTCTCTGGTAGCAGTATTTTGCAAGTCTTATCACAGCTTGCTACTGGAGGAATTAAGCTCAACTTCTGGTTTTTTTTTTTTTTTTGGTTTTTTTTTTTCTCCGGTACCGGGAACCGAACTCATGACCTTGCACTTGCCAGGCAGACGCTTTGCCGCTGAGCTAAGTCCCCAACCCCAAGCTCAACTTCTGAATCTCACACCTGGTTCCCCCCAACTTCACCTTATGTACTCTTTCCCTTTGCTGATTTTCCCTGTGTCCCTTCCCTATGATAAACCTTAGCCATGCATAAAATGCAACTTTATGGTGAGTCTTTTGATTTGGCCTGGTGAATCACTGAACGTGGGGCTGGTCTTGGAAACCCCTCCAAGATGCAGACATACTTTCATGTCAGTTGATGGCATTTTTCTTTTCCCAGTGTGGAGATTGGTGAAAGTGTTAGAGGGGAAGATGTCTATATCATCCAGAGTGGCTGTGGAGAGATCAATGACAACCTTATGGAACTGCTCATCATGATCAATGCGTGCAAGATCGCCTCGTCCTCCAGGGTGACTGCGGTGATCCCATGCTTCCCATATGCCCGCCAAGATAAAAAGGACAAGGTAGGGGAGGCATGCGTGTCCTGCCGAGTCACCATCATTTCTGCATATACCGCTACCAGCAGAATATCTGGCAATTGTTGACATTCTCTTTTAAGGCTGTCATGAGCATAGTCCTCACCTTGCTGTATTCAGATTTATCTTTGAGCCCACCACATTAATATTTGTAGATTTCAAAAACAATTAAGCATATTTTGCAGGTTTTAAATTGCCATTATTGGCTTTATCATGATGGAGTTGTGTGTGTGGTGGTGGATGGAACTAATTACATGCACACCCCTCTGTGAGTACATAGTCAAACAGGGGAGCATCCTATTCAGTTCACTCATTGTAGCAGTGTCAGGGTCTTGACTGTGAAATTGCTAGAATTTTGCAAGATATTTCCATGACGCTAGGTGACATTGTTACTGAAGCTGCTAGGAGCTACATTGTTCCTTGCAACTACATGTGAGTCTACATTTCTGCCCAGCTAAAAGTTTAATAAAAAATGTTATTGTCTGTTTTCAGTCTTTCAAGAAGAACTGATTTAATGTTGCTATTCTTTTAGCAACATTGTTATCACAGAAGGTTCTATAAGTCTGTACAGGTTGAAGAAAATACAATAGTTCTTAATCTTCAAGGTACATCGGATAAATTAATGTTTGAGGCGACTTTTGAAGCAGATTTTATTAGTTTGCTAGAGCTGGCAAAAGAAATTCTCATAAACTAGGGATCTTAAAAGAGCAGGAATTTAATCTCGTGCAGTTCCAGAGGTCAAAAGTCTGAAATCCAGGTATAGGCAGAGATGAATCATCTGGACATTATAGGGACAGATGTTCCCTCAACTCTTGCTGCTGGTGGCTCCTCCATTCCATGGCTTGTGGCAGCCTCACTCCAGTCTCTGCCTCTGTCTTCAGGTGGCCTCTTCCTGTGTCACTGTGTGTCCTCCTCTGTCTCTTACAAGGATACTGTCCTTGCGTTTCAGTTTTACCCTAATCTTTTATATTTTGGTGTTTTGAAAGGATCTCACCAGTAAGCCCAAGCTAGCCTTGAACTCATTATGCAGCCTCTAACTCATGGAAGTCCTCCTGCCTCAGCCTCTTGAATGCTGAGTTTACAGGCATGCACCAGCACTCTTCGTTTAGTATGATTTCATCTTGATCTTTACATTGGTTATATCTGCAAAGACCCTATGTCCAAAATGAGGCCACGTTGTGAGCTGTGAGTGGATGTGAGTTTGGGGGCTACCAGTTGACTCACTACAGTGATCATGCTGAACCTATGGTTTCATTTCTAAAATAACACACATTTCTGAAAACAATATAAGTTTGAATTCCTATACCGAGGTCTCCCTGAATTTTGATCTCAAACTCTTCAGATGTGGCTTCCAGTCTCTGTGCTGAATATGGCTATTCAGTTAATTTCTCACTAAAAATTTGATCTCCAGAGCACCATGTGGCACTTGGGATACCATTACTTCGTACCAATTAGACTAGAAGGCTCAGTTTACATTTTCTAAAAATGACTATGATCTCTGTGGCAAGTTCTTAACTTTGTACCTCAAAAGTAGTAATAGACAGTACATATATGAATGGATGTGGCTGTGTTCCAATAGAATTTTATTTACAGACATTACCCCATGAATTTAATATTTTCACCTGCCATAAGTATTATTCTTTTGATTTCTTTTTAACCATTTAAACATATAAGAACCACTATTAGCTCACAGGCCATGCAAAAACAAGTGGTTGGCCAGATTTGACCACTGAGTCACAGTTGGCCAACTTCTGCACTAGAGTGTGGGTTGGCTTTGTAGTCAGTTTTGTGTTGTGGTCACAAAATCCCCAAGGCTGGGTAACTTCTGAAATAAAGAGGTTTCTGTAGCTCACCACACCGGTGCCTGCAGGATCCAGACACATAGCGCTGGCATCCTGGCATGTCTTCCCTCCGGCTGTGTCACAATGTGGAGAAGGGGAAAGGGAATTAGCCACATGCAGAAGGGATATGTGTGTGAGGAAGGAACACAGAGTGCAATGGGCCAGTCTTGTCCTTTGCATAATAACCCGCTCTTGCAGGGACTAAGCCACTCTGAGACCAGCCTCTGGCCCTTCAGAGATTGGCCTCCCATGACCTCCCTGTCTTTGACTAGGCCTGATACTACAGTTTCTACCACCTCAGTGTACCCACACTGGGATCAAGCTTCCAGCACATGGACCTTGGTGTATATTTGTGTGTGTCACTTTGTGACTGCAACTTGAGCTTGTGGGCAGCCCAAACTTTCATTCATATATGTTGTTGTGAAACCCTGTCCCCCTATTTGTTATTTATATAGCTGCTTATATTTTTAAACTAGATTCTAGAGTTTCCTTCATTGCTTTTAGGTGCTAAATGCCAGTGTTTAAATTGTATCCCATCAGTGTCATCTGCCTTAGCACTTCCTCCCATCTGGGTCTTTTCACAGGATTGCTTAGCAACTTCAACTTGTCTAGTCATAAAGGAGCTCATTTTCTGCTGATTTCTCTTCCATGTGGCAAGAGTCTTAGTAAATTCCCACACTGTGATTATTTCTTATCAAGTTCTTTAACTTCCAGTAGGTTTCGTACTTTGCATTTTGCTCTGAGCTGTTGAATACACTGTATCTTCTCTGGTAAATCATTCCTTTGTCAGGCCCTGGTCCCACCGTTGAGTGATTTCTAACTCCCAGTTCCTTTGATACAAATAGCGGATATAGATATTGAGGTGTCTGCATTTTTTGTTGGCACATATCTGATTCACACTAACTTCTTTTTCCAAGGTTGTGTTTTCAAATTTTGTTTCTTATTTTTATTCACAATAAAGTCTTTGTAATCGAGAAACTACCACAATCTGTCCCCTGCCTCTTACATTTCAGGAACTTTGATGGTCACTGATCTCTGTCTCTGATTGCCAGCACTGTCCCCAAGCCACCGAGCTACCAAGAGGAGCCCTATAGACTTCTACCAGGTTCAACTGTTTCATAGAACTGTATTGTTTGACTAGTTGTTTGCCAGTTTAGATTTGTCCTGCGTTTGGGACCATTTTGAACACACATTCTGTGACTTCTCTGAACTTAACTGATTGGAAGAGATAAGACTTTCTTCATCCTCAGCCAGAGATCCTGACACACTCCTGTAATCCCAGCACTCAGGAGGCTGAGGAAGGAGAACCGCTGGAAGTTCAAAGCCAGCCTAGGCTACACAACAAGACCCTGCCTCAAAAAAAGAAAGAAAGAAGAAAGAAAGAAAGAAAGAAAGAAAGAAAGAAAGAAAGCAAGCTTTCTTCATCCTCAACACAGAAATAAGGGTGGGAAAACAGTTGGGAAGCAGTGTTTGTAGCACTTAGAAATCCCTGTGGCTTATTGGTGGGGGACACTGACAGATAGGAAAGACTCAGAGTACAATGGATTCCTTTCCTAGCATTCCTGGAACAAATGACCACAGAGTGGCTTAAAACTGGGCGGCTGAGGCAGGAAGCTTGAAAGCTCAAACCCAGCCTTGACAATTTAGCAACTTAGTGAGACCTTAACTCATAATAAAAATAAAATAACTGGGCATACAGCTCAGTGCAAAGGGCCTGGGTTCAATCCCTGATACTGCAAAAAAAAGTATTTTAAAGACAGCTCAATCTTTGTGATAATATTACTATCATATTGTTTATCACCTAAGCCACAACACTGCGGAGATCGAAAGGAGGCTTTATTACTAAGTAACTGCCAGGAAACAAGCATCCAAGCAGACTGTCTCTGGAAAGTCTGATGGACAGCCGTCTCTGTATAGGTCAATAGCTCCAGACAACCTTGGAGGTGGCCAGGATACAGCTGACCAACTTTCTCTGAAAAGAGCCATGTGTGACATTGGAGATCATTGAGTCTGTTACAACAGCCTGTATATTGTCCTGGTATCATTATTCTGGTGTATCTGTGTAGTCAGTGTGACTTATATTATAGTAAGGAGATCATTATTCTTTCTTCAAACTTGTTGAAAGGAGCATTCTTAGTTATCCATCATCTGATGTACATTTTTATGTTCTTTTTAAGTTTCTGACAGTTTTTCTATTTATTTCTCCCCTTGTTCAAGTAGCTCAGCTTCCAGCAAGAAAAATTCCCAGGTGATTGCAACAGGGATTTAAGAAGCACTTGAGAGAAATTACCTTGCCTGGGACTGCATGACTGCAGTCCCAGCACTCAGAGGCTGAGGTAGGAGGATTGCTGTGAGTTCGAGGCCAGCCGGGCCTACATAGTGAGTTCAAGGCTAGTTTGGGCTATATAACAAGACCCCATCTCAAAACACCAAAAAGAAAAGGGAGAGAGAAAGGGTTTGAGCCTGCTGACACATTTCATTTCTTAACTAAGTGCTGCCATGTGCCAGCATGGGCCAACGATGAGGAGACCAGGCAGGATTTAGGACAGAGAATTCACTTCCACTTTTTTGCTCCCTGTAGGCAGGCAGAAGGCCATGTGGCACTTGAGTGTCACTGAAAGCCATGGGCTACACTTGTGTTGGCCACAGAAGGAGCTCGGGACCGCCCTTCCCAGCTTTCTGTTGGCCTTTTTCCATCTCTTGGGACTGTCCTGCCTATGACATCTTATGACACAATGAAATTCTGTGTAGTCACTCTACTCAGAAGTACATTCAAAGAAACCCAGGAAAATCTAGGACTTTATAGCCTTTTTAAAAGCCTGTTTCCTTTTTATCCCTGTCCTTTGCTGTTCTTTTAGGCAAACCCTATACATATGTAAAATTTTATTTTGGGTTTTGTTTGTATGCACAAGAACCTAGAGATAGGTTCTCATAGTGAAGGAATGGTTTCATACATGGTAACACAGCAACACAATATACTGACATGGAAAAGTGATGATGAGATAATATTGATTGTAAAAGACATGGCACAAAGTAGTTTTAGCTTGGAAGTTCTAACACTGGAATAAAATGGGCTCAGGTTCAAATTTCAACATTGTATTTACTCAGTTTGCCCTTTATAAAAGAGTTACTTAAACTCTACAAATTCAGTTTCCTCATCTGTAAGTTAAGGACAGTGTGAACTGCTATTTATAGGCACTAAAACCTAGCCTATAATCCACAGCTGTCCAACTTTCTCTGAAAAGAACCAGGTGTGAAATTGGGGATCATTGGATCTGTTACAACACCCAACTTCTGCCGCTTTGGTGTGAAAACAGCCGTGACCATTACTGTAAACAAACAAGTGTGACTGTGTGCCAGTAAAACTTTATTTGTCCATGCAGATATGTGAGTTTTATATCATCTTCCTCTGCCTCAAAACACTATTCTTCTTTTCATTGCTTTCCAGGCAGTTATAAATGGAAAAACCACCCTGAGATCTCAGGTTGGACAAAAACAGGCCCCAGGCAGGTTTGGCCATGGGCTGTAGTTTGCTGGCTCTTGCCATAGTAGACGCTCAATAATTGCTGGTTCCCTTGCCTGGTGAAAACAGCAGGTTGTGGGCAATGCAGGGAATAATTACTTCTGGGGGTGGAACTTTCAGCTCGGTTTTGTTTGTTTTCTGTCTTCCAAAATCATTTTGAAGGTCATGTTCTCATTTAGATGATAAAATATTGTTTCCTTTTACTTTGTAGCTGATGTGAATCTGTGCAATCTTGTAGTCTTTGCAAAAGCTTGTCAAAGTTGCTTTTGTGACAGGGTGGCATTGGATACATTGCATATGATCTGGATTACCCTGAGAGAGTCTGACATGCATAACTTTGACCTTCATATATTTTTCACTAGAGAAGTCCCACCTTGATTCTACCTTTGTTTAAAGGCTGCAGTAATTTTTCTCTGTCTAGGCTATAATATGAGTTGACTTGTAGATCTCTTCCTGCAGGATTCAGCTGGGTGTTAAGCCAAACTATGAAACTTAGTACCAAAGCCAAATTTGTAAACAAAGTCCAAAGAAGGAAATCAAATGTCTGAATTAAGAAATTACCTCTATGGTTTGGATCCCAGAAGTAAGAAATGCTGGTTGCCACTGTGGAAAGAAGGGGTCCTTTTGCTGCAGTCGTCTGTGCTGCTACTACAGAATATCTGAAGCTGGGTAACTTGTGAAGAACAGAATTTTTTTTTCTCATAGTTCTGGAATATGGAGGTCTGAGGCCAAGGCATCCGTATATGGTATCTAAGGAGAAACGCTGTGTCCCTCCCTGGGAGAAGGTGGAAGGACAGGTTTGCGGAATGGAGTCTATAGCTTCTTTCCCCAAAGCCTCCCTCCCGTCACCCAGGGAAGAGTCCTCCCAGCCCAGTCCCCTCTTCAAGACCACACTTCTTAATGCAATCACAGTGCCAACTCCTGAATTTTGGAGAAGACACATTTAATCCTAGCAGCCTACAAAGTTCTAGGAAGAGCACAGACTCAACTAACACTGCAAATAAAATTTTATTACAAAGAAGTCACAGTGACCATTTTGTTCTTTCTATTGTCCTAGAACTTTTTTAGATGAAAGAATGCTTATTATCAATGAGGCTAATGACTAAGCCTTGGGAATTTGATATTGTAGAGATTCTGCTATGAAATATTTATCGGAAAGCTATCATGTGCAGGGTATAAGCTATGTTCAGCAAGGGATGAGAAGATGTCTAAAAGCAATTGTTTGCCCTTGTGGGTGATGACATTCCTATCTTCAACACAAAAAGGGCCCAAAATATTAGGGACCAAGTGCTTAAGGATGCTACATCACTTTAGAAGGAAGAGATTATGTCTGGAGTTCTTAGAGTGCCTTACAATTGGGAGATGCTATTGGAGCCAGACCTGGAGGATTAAACACATTGGCTCACAATTTAGCATTTACATATTGCACTGCTATGAACATGGGTGCACATGTATCGCTGTGATATGATGTTTTCAGATCTTCTGGGAAAATACCCCAGAGGGGAATAGCTGGGTTGAATGGGACCTCTAGACCTAGTTTTCTGAGGAATCTCCAAACTGATTTCCACAGTGGCTTCACCAGTGTGCATTCTTACCAGCAGTGGAGAAGGGTTCCTATTTCTCCACAGCCTCACCAGCATTTGTTATTGGTTGATTTCTAAATGCTAGCCATTCTTACTGGGGTGAGATGAAATCTCAGTGTTGTTTTAATTTGCATTTCTCGACAGACATGGGTAGGATGGGGACCAGGTGGCATGGGAGTATATAGGCAAAGCTACTGGGTTCCCTGGAAGAGGGCGGGCCAAGCCAGGCCACACTGCAAGGAGTGGCCCAGTAGCAGAGATGCGGGACAGGGACAGCTCTCAGTAGACTGCAGCCACATTAGCCAGAGGGTTTTAGTTTGAAAGCTGAGAAAAATGAGATTTATTCCAAAGGCAATTTTAATACATTGCATGGAGTAAACAGTGAAAACTTGAGGTGAGATACAAACTTCATAAAGAAGATTGAAAAAGTTTTTTTAACAGATAAAAGGAAAAGAAAGATAATGATCTGTAGTCTTCATTTTCTAGAAACATTTGCTGTTAACATTTTGGGTGCTTTTCTCATATATATATATATACATATATATATAATATTTTCTAAGAAACAATGATGTGTTAAAGAAAATGAAAATAATCTATTAACATTTTGATATAATTCTTTGCTACGTGTGTTGTTACATGAATATATTGTGTTTGTGATATACTATGTGTGTGTATGTGTGTGTATTTCATGGAATCATTTCTTTGTCATTATTTTGAATGCCATTTTTCCTTAAGCTTATATTTTCTATAAATATTGAATTATCCATCACCATAAAGTATTCTTCCTCCCATCTGGTTTTTGTTTAAATTGTATCAAGGACAGCTTCCAACTGTCAATACAGGAAAGTACCTCTGAGAGCTGAACTGCATGCCATCGCTGGCTGCACGAGGGTCTCCTGGCTTTGGCTATGTTCCATATACTGTTGTCCCTGTAAAATGTTTTTCTCTGGTGTTTGCTGTCTTACCTTGAAAGTGATCTCAGTGGGACCTCTAACAACCATCCTGTTTAAACTCTGTGTAACTTCCTACTGTTATCTCTTTTCTACACCTTTTATTTTACCTCTCAACATTCATCCCAGCCTGAATTATGCAAATTGTGACATTCCATGTAGAGCAGTGTCTGTTTAACTGTATGCTTCTTTGACATTTGTTCTCTCCACCCAGTGCCAAGCATATTGCTTCACGATAATATATGGGAACAGTATTTGGTGAACAAAATAGAATGAATGTATCTTTTTTTGCCACAACATGTGTCATTTTGCTTCTTAGATTTTGTTGACACCTTCTGTGACTTAGCTTTCTCACCTGTTGCTTACCAGGAGCAATCTGACACCATCCATCTTTTCCTGCTGTCAAATCCATGTCTTTGTTTTTTCAGAGTCGTGCTCCGATTTCTGCCAAACTTGTGGCCAACATGCTCTCTGTGGCTGGGGCCGATCACATCATCACCATGGATTTGCACGCCTCTCAGATACAGGTACCAGCATTTTCTTTCTGCCGGTGGTTAGGTCCTAAATCTGTTAAATTACAGTGGTACCTCAGTTTGTGAGCTTAATTTATTCCAAGATTCTGGGGAAGAAGGCTATAGTCATGTTTGTGTAGGGAAGATGGCCATGGTCATGTTCATCACCTGGTATAGAGTTTGAGAATGGTGGCAAAATTTTGCCTAACACTTGTGTTTGCAAACTGAATTGTTCGCAAACAGAAGTGTTCGTGAACCAAGGCATTGCTGTAAATCATTTCAGAAGAAGGTAGCGTTCCTTGTGTTTGAGTTTGTGTATGGCTCCTTTCTTGGAGTGTCTTTGGAATAATAACTCAATGTTGATATATCCTGTCTTAGTTGCTGCTTGCCTTTTACCAGTTTTGGAGAAGTGAAAATGACTTCTTGGAAGCATACATGGTGTAATTCCATTACAACTCCTGGAAAAGCATTGGAATGGCGAATTGTGACATAGATTTGTTAACTTCTTAGTAGCTTAGTTCTTTCACCTCTAAAACAGGCCAAATTATACAGTGCTGGCTTTATGATATATAATAAATGTAAAATATTTGGTTTGGAAGCTAAAAAACAATAGCCCTGCCAAATGCAGTGATGCATGCCTGTCATGCCAGCTGAGGGAAGCTGAGGCAAGAGAATCTCTGTCATCTTCAAACCAGCCTGGGCTACATAGTGAGTTCAGGCCAGCTTGAAATACATAGTGAGACCTTGTCTCAAAAAACTAAAAATAAATAAATAAGTAAAAGTCCAACCCTTTTGACTCATTGCAAAAGGCCATCCCAAGCAACAGAATACATTTTGAAGAGGACCATCTTGAAATATCTGCCTTTTGATTTTGTTAAGATCAACAAAGAGGAGTCTGGGGGCTGGGGATTTAGCTCAGCGGCAAAAGCGCCTGCCTGGCAAGCGCAAGGTCGTGAGTTCGGTTCCCGGTACCGGAGAAAAACCAAAAAAAAAA